AGCTGAAATGAAATCTCAAGCTGTGAATTTCGATCCTCTGATAATGAGAAGCAAGTGCAAATTTGACTAGACCAGTCTCTCTCTTAGCATTCCTATTGCTACGTCTTAAGAGGTTATGTGTATGTTGTACTTATTATCTTCCCATTTAAGATATTTTATTATTTCTAATGTGATTTTTTCCCTTCAATTTTAGCTTAATTCCACTGTGTACAGAGAACATTAAGTTTATAATCCTTCAATATTTGATAAGGCTTATATTGAGATATGTAAATTAATCTTACTGAAAAATGGAAAAAAATCAATTTTAAATATGGAAAATTTTTTTAAAATATTCAATATGCACCTGAAATAAATGTTTTCTGTATTATTCAAATAACAGTTTTAAAATGCATTCTCTCAGCTATTGAATAAAACATACTTGATTGTGAATTGGTCTTATTTATCCTTAATTATTTCTTTGACTATTATGGAGCTATGTTATTGGGTGTGCACAGATTTTGAAATTTGATCTCTTCCTAGTGTGTTTAACGTCATAAGATGTCCCTTTTTATCTCTGTGTTTCTTTCCTGTATGTCTTCTTTTACTGAAATTAAATGTCCAGCTCACCACTGTTTGTAATATTTTCCGTCTTGTTGCTCTTAAACAACTTATACCTTTATAATTAACATGCGTCTCTGGTAAGAATAAAGTACTTGGGTTTTATTTTACCTATAACATCATATTTGTCTTTTATTTGTAGTATTTTATGCATTTGCCAATAATCCTCAATATGTTTGGGTTTATATCAATAGTCTTACTGTATGTTTTCAATTTTTTCCATTTATTTTACTTTCCTTCTGTTTTTTGCCTTCATTTGTGTAACACAAGATATGATAACATTTTTGTTTTTCCTCTATTAACAGGTTAGTTATATAGTCTTTTATTATTATTTTAATGTTTACTCTAGACATTAAGGCCTACAAAAATTATTTTTACTACTTTTCCAATAATATCAGTACCTCAGATTACTTTAATACTACTCATTTCTTTTCTATGTTTTATATTACTGAAGTCAGGTATTTTTTAGGTTTTTACTTTCTCATGTATTTTAAACTCTAGGAGATGCACCACTACTGTTTTCACAGTCAATATTTATTAGGTCCTGTATTGCAGTGTTTCCCTCTGGGATCACAGTTCTTTAGCCTAAAAAATCCCCTTTCATATTTTTTAATGAATATCTACTACTTAGTGATGATTCTACTTAGCTGTGATTTGTCTGAGTATGTTTTTATTTTTCTCTAATTTGAGCTCTCTTTTCTCTGGCTCTATAATGCTATATTGACAGTTATTGGGTTCAGTACTTTAAATCTATCATTTTTTTCTGGTTTTCATTGTTTTTGATGAAAAGTCAGCTGGAAATATTATTTTTTTCTCATTTTTCTTTGGCTTTTTTGCTCTTTTGACTTAGGTTTCAGTAATTTGAATATGGTAGGTTTAATGTTCTTGCATTTATCCTGCTTATCTCTGGATATATCTTTCATCAATTTTGGAAAATCTTTTATCAACTCTTTAAATATTGATTCTGCCTCATTCTCTCCTCTCTGAGACACCATCTGCACACATGTAGACCAATTGATGGGTGATTTATAGGTGTTACAGTTTTCTTTTTTTTCTTCTATACTTTTCATCCTTTTTCTCTGTTTTCAGTTTACATACTTATTATTGACCTGCCTTCAAATATAAAAATCTTATGTCTCATTTTATCTCAGTTGCTGTTAAACCCATATGTTGAAGTCTCACTTTCATTTATTTGATTTTCAGTTCTAGAATTCCCTTTGTTTATTTTTACAAATTCTGCCTGTTTGGTGAAATTCTCTATCTTTGAATTTTTTTCTATCTCTTTACCTCTATTTGTAAAATACATGAATCATTATTTTACAATCCTTTCAGCTAACCCCAATATTTTCATCTTTTGTTATCTCTCTTGGTCTTTAGTTCTTTGGTCTCATTCCTTGTCATTTTTATTGAATGATAAGACTGGCAACTTGTAATTTTCATTGAATGGGATATATTTTGTTTAAAAATTTATAAGCTCCAAATAATGTTAACTTCCCCCAGGGAGGGAATATCCTTTTCTCTAGTAGGCAGATAGATGTGGGAACTATCAACTTAATCAAATCAAAGATGATGCTGATTCAAACCTGGACTGCAGTTTTAGTATGGCTTTGCCTACCTTTGGTTTGCCCCATTCTTCAGGCAAATTGTTTTCACCATAGCACTCTGACAGCATGACTTGAACTATAATGCTCATTTTTCAGCACTTTGAGAATGTCAGATAATGTGCTTTTTAGAAATTTTGGCTTGGATTATTAACCTTCCATCCCATTCAGCTTCAAATTTGGGCAACTGTTTTGATGGGAATCAAACTATTAACTTGAAACTCCTCACTTCTTAAGTTTTTTTTTTTTGTCTGTTTCTTTTTCTTTCATTCTGAAACTGGTGAAAGCTTTGATATTTGTTCTGTCCCTGTGAGCAGAAGCCCTCAACTTGGATTCTTGTTTTCTTGCCTACAGGGAAAACCACTGCAGTTTCAACCTCTAGTCAACAAACCTTTCCAAAATTTAGTGCAAAAAGAAGAATAAAAAATGATTTTAATTGGTAGTTTGTGAGTGGATTCCCATGATTTTGCAATTTCAAGATTTGGAATGGTAAAGACCAACATGCTTCAGGGTATTATAAATCAGGTCACTGTCTCATCCAAATATTTATTAATAAAAGGTGAAATGTGGGTAGGAAAATTTAACAGTGTAAAATCAGAAACTCTGTTAATTAAGGTTATTTCTTGGGTTTATTGTCATTGAAGAGATGAGAAGGTGGTGACAAACTTTCCAAGATTCATGAAACTTTAGTAAAAAAATTTATTGAGTTGTTTTGAATAAGGTATGTTATCAGACTTATAATGGTATAATTTGCAACAACACTGGTGTATTACCTTCAGTATTTAAGTAAGAAGAAACAAAGCTTTATGTAAGAATGATCAATTATACAAATCTGTTTTTAATTAGGAGGGATTTTAATGTAGAAGCAAAAAATTCATTGTATTATCTATGTTATATGTCTTTGAAATTATTGAAAATTTTCTAAACTATCTATAAGTTAGGAATAGCCACATTTTATGGAGACTCAACATTATGTGCTAGGATTAAAAGTAACTGAAAATTATACAAACCCAGAAAGTTATGCCAGTTTCTTCTTCTAATGTAGGTAGCTATTAAACTGAAGAATTGTTCCACATTAGCTTTTTTTTCTTTTGTTTATAGTTCCTATATAAGTGCAAGGTATACCAGAAGTGCATTTAAAGTATTTGTGTGTAAAACTAGTGACTTTTTCTTAATTTAAAAATATAGATACAATGATTAGTATATCAAGACTACGTGGAAGGAAGCATGGGAATTTTACTAAAAATCTCATTTTTTAAAGGAAAAAAATGAATTTCAATTAAACCAAGAAAGATTTTTTTTTGGAAAAGAACAGAACATGGCATCTGTGCCTGGACATCTTTTTGACCATATTAGAAGAATAAAAAAAACGATATTTATACCAACCATCACATACAAAATAATTTGGTAAATTCCCATTCTGGGGGAAAAAAACTATAATTCACTATAAATAAGCTATAATTTACTACTTTTCCTTATGTTGACATGGCACTCTGCTTAATAGTATCACCCAAGGAACCAGGCTTAAAAAGCAACCACTATATGTGTGATTTTTCAATAGATCACGCACTTCTCTAAATCTTACACTTCAGGTATGGATAAAAGGTATAAATAGATAATTTCTAAACATTTTTTCCTTGATAAATGTTTTGGCTCTGTGTCCATTATGGGAATTTTTTCCTATGTTAATTGCATATATTGTTTATTCACTAGGTAAATGTTATTGAATACAAATCCCAAATTTTATTTGGAAAGATACATGTTATGTGTTTGTGTGCATGCATATGAGTGTGTGCACGTGCCAAAACACAAAACCATATAAATATCAATCCTGAAGAATCAGGTGAGATAGAAATAAATTTCATCTACTGCAAACTTCCAATACAAAATCCAGTATTTTCTGACTCTTCCACTTCTACTTTGGGCAGCAACATCTATGAAGACTGAATAGACCTAATTTATTAATTATTAATCTCTAAAATAATACATCTCAAACTTTATCCCTTTACCTTTTATCTTTTTCCAAAATACTAAAACCTACTATTAATTTTTAAACATATATATTAAAGAACCATTGTTTCTTGACTTAATTCTCCACATTGATACATTCTCCATCGCGCATCGTCTTACAATCCTGGCAATAGAATCAAGTAACTGTTTAAGTCCGAACAACTGACTCCACTTTATATTTCCTCAATGATAATACACACTTACTCATTCACTTTCTACTTTGGACTTTCTTTGCCAATGCATGGCATTCCAAAGTGGTATGAAATGGTTTTAGTCAAGAAAATCCTATCCTGTATCAGTTGAATATGAATTGCAATATAATTGAGTCCAGTATGATTTCTCTAGTTTTTCCACTCATACAAATGATGAACTTATATTAAAGAATGATAATATGATTTTTATCTGACCAGCATTTCTCAGAATACCTGACTCTACTCTTGCCATCCATTCCTCCTTTTAGATAAATATAAAAAAGAATAAAACGAGTCATTAGTATTATCTAGAACATCAGCTGAGTAGCGTGTACTTAAGCTGAAATTGGGTTAGGGAAACACACTTTTTTTTCAAGGCCAGAAGTCTAAATAATATTTCTCCTAAACCAAACCTGGATCCAGAATTGACTACTCTGGAAAAAAAAAAAGAAAACAAAAACATAATTTCCCGGTTTACAGGAAATGGAGAAGAGAGAGAAAACAAAAATAGGGTTTGCTCTTATGTTTCATACTGCTCAGGTCTCCGCTGTCAGCCAAAAGAATTTTTAACCTAGGATTGTTGCTTTGCATTCTACTGAAGGTCTAAGAAGACAAAGTTCTGCACCCATTATGTGAAAGCAGAAGGAAGTCTCCGCACCATTCCGACCGGCCTGATTGAAAAGAAGATGGCTCATGATTCCCTGCACTGAGTTTGCAGTTGCTTTGAAAACTTATCCCCTAAAAATGTGATCCATCAGTTTCCTTTAACTTCAGTCATGTCTTTTATCCTTGAAATAAAAATATCCTGGATATTTTCTCCACTTTAATTCTGATCAGTTCCTGGGCTTGGGTGTGGATCGGTGATGGCAGGCAGGAAGAAAAAGGAGAAGATGAAAAATATTGCACTTACCCTGGTTGTGAATCACATTGATTTATAACTTTGAAGCTGAGAAGTCTTAGTAGTTTTTTGTTTGTTTTATTAGATGCAGATGGTATAGTTGTGTCAATTGTATTATGTTTTAGTAATATTGTATTAGTTGACTTAAGGGGTTGCAATTCTGATTGGGATTTATATCAGCTAGTTTTAAACAGCAATTTACCTAGTGCATTGGAAATAAAACTGCATTCATAAATGTAACTAAAATGTCATAAATGTATTTACTAGTAAATGAAGATATTCTTAAGAATGAAATGGCAAGGCAATATAATTAATTCGAAACTTGTTTCTAAAATGTTAATAAGAATAAGATTACATTGAAAAATTTGACTTTTTGTCTCAATATAAGTGAATGAATATTGATTTGCTTTAGAAATAAACAGAAGAGGTTTTATGTTTGAGACAAAAAGGTGGATTTGCTTTTATTGTGTTAAAAATCACATAACATGAAATCTACCCTTAACAAATTTTTAAGTGTGCAATACACTATTAACTATATGTACATTGTTCAGCAGATCTGTACAGCTTTTTCATCTTTCATTACTGAAATTCTATACCCATTGAGTAGCAACTCCCCATGTCTCCTACCCCCAGCCTCTGGCAACCATTAAACTACTTTCTGCTTCCATAAGTTTGACTATTTTAATGCCTCACATAAGTGAAATCATGACATAGTTGTCTTTCTATGACTGGCTTATTTCATTTAACATAATGTCTTCAAGGTTTATCAATGTTGTAGCATATGGCAGGATTTCTTTCTTTCTTAAGGCTAAATAATATTCCACTGTATGCATATACTGCATTTTCTTTATGCATTCACTCATCACTGGACATTTATGTTTCCACCTATTAGCTATGTGAATAATGCTGCAATGAGAATGGGAATACAAAGATGCTCAACTTCATTAATCATTAGAAAATGTAAATTATAACAACACTGATAAAAATGACACAACTGTTGAAATGACCATAAACAATGGCAACAACAAGAACAAAAACAAAATAACAGAGTTGGTGAGGATGTAGAGAAATTAGAACCCTTGTGTGCTGTTAGTGGAAATGTGAAATGGTGTAGCCACTATGGAAACTATAATTACAGTCTTTCAAAAAATTAATAATAGAACCACCACATGATCCTGCAATCCCATTTCTCAATATTTCTCAAAAAAGAATTAAAAACCAGATTTCAAAGAGGTATTTGCACTCCCATGTTCATTGTTTTTTCATTCAAAAATATTAAATAGTTTTTAAAAAGCAGGTGTTATACTTCCTAAAATTGATAGCAGAGAATATTGAAGACAATGAAGGTAGATGGGTGGGTGGATTAATTAGTATTTTTAAATTTCATATCAATGAACTGCCGTTGAGTAAAAGATTAATACTAAAGTGTTTTTTAGAAGTGGAACAGTAAAGTGATAATGTAAATATGTGTTTAATTAAATAAAACAGTTCAGCAGATAAGAAGGTAGAAATATAATGGAGGAAAAAAGATTTCAACCAAAGTTCTAATTTGATAATGAAATATAAGTGCAAAACATTAAACAAAAGGGATTATTTTGAGTAAGCCATTTTATACAATAGAACAATATAATAAAAAGCCATGTCTCACATTACCTTACATCTAATATATGATTTTTTTGGCATGAAATGCATAGAATAATAGCAACATATTTGACTTCTTAGGAAGCAAGTACATTTATTTTTGAAACATTAACATCTTAGAGAACCAGAGTTTTAAAATTTGAAAAAGAAATCAAGATTTAGACATTTGAAAACTGTTTTATTTGGAATCTATAAAGGAAGAATCATGTTTTATTACTTTGCATGCTTCTTTGCAAAGGAAAGAAAAGAACAGGAACAAAAATAATGAATTTATTGGGAAAAAATTGGATCAATATAATAAAAAAGAGCCACCCAAATATTACCCACCTCATATTTTCTTTTTTAAAAAATATTATTTGGACTGAACCAGCATGAGATTAACACAACCCTTCAAGATAAAAAATACTAAAGCATTTTTTTTCCAAATGAATAGTATTGTACTTAAATGCTGCCCTTTCTCATTCCATTTTACTTCTTGGTGCATTTTCATGATGAAGGGGGTTCTTCCCTTCTTTCCCTCATTGTGGTGACAACATGATGAAATTCTGTTCATACCCACAAGAATTCACTCATTCCTTCATTAAAATAACATTTATTGCTGGGCATTGTGAGAGTAACTGGGATGCTACCCAGCCTTATGGAGGCATTTGAGTGCCATAGAAGCAACCGGGAAATGTGCCAGTTTGGGGAAACAACAGGAAAGATTTATTACAGAGATTCTATAGTGTAGAGAAAGTTGCTGAACTCCCAGTAAAGAGACTTTTTGTGAAAATAACCCTCATTAAAAAGCAAAACCTTCTCCTTCTCAATGAACCCAAATCACATCTATCATTTCCTTCCCTTTCTCACAGGAGCAAGGTTCTATTCTGTTCTGAACATAGCTAGCTGTTCCATCGCAGTCTGTACTTCCCCCAAGATCTTGTACCATTAATGATCACTTCTTTCTTGAATAGTTAATCCTTTCATTTACCACTTTTTATTCTTGCAACTGCAGCTGTTCGCAATAATTTCCATGCATTAAAATAAACAAAAACAAAAAATCCTTTTTTCCAACCTCTCCTTTATTTATTTATTTTATTTTGGTATCATGAATAAACACTGACAAAGCAACATTGTGGTTACTATATTCTCTGCTTTATCAAGTCCCCTCCACATACCCCATTACAGTCACTGTCCATCAGTGTAGTAAGATGCTATAGAATCACTACTTGCCTTCTCTGTACTGCACTGCCTTCCCTGTGCTCCCCGAGCCACATTATGTGTGCTAATCATAATTCCCCCTTTTCCCCTTATCCTTCCCTTCCCACCCATCCTCCCCAGTCCCTTTCCCTTTGGTAACTGTTAGTCCATTCGTGGGCTCTGTGATTCTGCTGCTGTTTTGTTCCTTCAGTTTTTGCTTTGTTCTTATACTCCACATATGAGTGAAATCATTTGGTACTTGTCTTCCTCTGCCTGGCGGATTTCACTGAGCATAATACCCTCTAGCTCCATCCATGTTGTTGCAAATGGTAGGATTTATTTTCTTCTTATGGCTGAATAATATTCCATTGTATATATGTACCATATTTTCTTTATTCTTTCATCTACTGATGGGCACTTAGGTTGCTTCCATTTCTTGGCTATTGCAAATAGTGCTGTGATAAACATAGGGCTGCATATGTCTTCTTTTCAAACTGGGCTCCTGCATTCTTAGGGTAAATTCCTAGGAGTGGAATTCCTGGGTCAAATGGTATTTCTGTTTTGAGTTTTTTGAGGAACCTCCATACTGCTTTCCACAATGGTTGAACTAATTTACATTCCCACCAGCAGTGTGGGAGGGTTCCCCTTTACCCACATCCTCACCAACATTTGTTGTTGTTTGTCTTTTGGAAGGTGGCCATCCTAACTGGTGTGCGGTGATATCTCATTGTGGTTTTAATTTACATTTCTCTGATGATTAGCGATATGGAGCATCTTTTCATTGACCATCTGAATTTTTTCTTTGGAGAAGTGTCTGTTCAGATCCTGTGCCCATTTTTAATTGGATTATTTGCTTTTTGTTTGTTGAGGTGTGGGAGCTCTTTGTATATTTTGGATTTCAACTCCTTATTGGATATATTATTTATGAACATATTCTCCCATACTGTAGGAGGCCTTTTTGTTCTACTGATGGTGTCCTTTGCTGTACAGAAGTGTTTTTGTTTCCCTTATCATGGGGATATATTCATGAAGAAGTTGTTCATGTTCATATTCAAGAAAGTTTTGCCAATGTTTCTTCTAAGAGTTTTATGGTTTCATGACTTACATTCAGGTCTTTGATCCATTTTGAGTTTACTTTTTTGTATGGGGTTAGACAATAATCCAGTTTCATTCTCTTGCATGTAGCTGTCCAGTTTTTCTAACACCAGCTGTTGAAGAGGCTGTCATTTCCCCATTGTATATCCATGGCTACTTTATCATTTATTAATTGACCATATAAGCTTGGATCAATATCTGGACCCTCTATTCTGTTCCATTGATCTGTGGGTCAGTTCTTGTGCCAGTACCAAATTGTCTTGGTTACTGTGGCTTTGCAGTAAAGCTTGAAGTTGGGAACCCCCTGCTTTTTTTTCCTCTTAGGATTGCTTTGGCTATTTGTGTTCTTTTGTAATTCCGTATGAATTTTAGTCCTTTACTTTAGAAACCACCTCTTCTCTATTCACAGGCAAATTTCTTAAAGATGTAACTTCTCTACTAGCTTGCTCAGGTCTCTGCTGAATGACCCTTTTCTAAAGTCAACAGAGACTACTTCAGTGCTGAATCCAGCAATCCCTTCTGTACCTGGAACCCACCTGAGTAATTAATTTTTGTTCAGCATTTGACTTTGAGGACTACCCTTTGTTGAAAAATAACTTTTCCTTTAGCTTCATAACTTCTTTGAATTATTTATTTAAATTTATCTTATAGGCTTTTCTTCCTAATCTTTTCCTGTAAGTTCATAAAACCTTATGCTTCTTTCACATCCTTTACATTCCTTCACTGTACTCACTCAACACTTTGAAGTGGTTAAGACACCCTGTGCTTGAATTCTGAGGCTGCCATTTACTGCTGTGTAACTGAGCAATTTGTTTGGTGAGCCTTTAAAAATCAAGTATTTAGTGAAGATAATAATTGGATTGACTTAATAGGGTTTTAATTAGGATCAAAGAAGATAATGTGTACAAATTATTGACATAATACCAAGAACTTTGATTAATAATTGGGATATATTATAATCATTTTTGTTCATAATAATATATTCTAGTTTAACATGCTCATGACTGTGGATGGAGGCTCTAGACCAGGAGCACTATGCCATATACCTTTCTATGATGAAAATACACTGTTCTTAAAAGACATTAAGTTGCAATGTTAAAACATCTCTGACAACAGCTTCCCCACCTATATATTATAGAAATGTTACTTTTCTGAAATCCCTATTTCAGTTAATGGCATCACCATTCACAAAGGCAACAATGTTTAAATGCTGTGATGTATTAGAATTCATTCTGAAATGAAAAGAGCATGACCTTTGAATCAAACACACCTGGCTTCGAATAGGGCATCTCCATTTCCTTGCCATTTGACCTTGGGCAAATTAAATAACCTGCAAGAATCTCATATTTTTTCATTTGTAAAATAGAAATAAATATGTGTATCACACAAGGCTATTATCAGGATTAAATGGCATAACATATGTAAAAC